TTCACTTTCCTCCTTTGCATTGTGACTGCGTGGAAGTATTTGGTATTAGCATCTCCCTCTCGAAGCCATTTAGTTCTTGCCTTTTGACACCAGTAGGCTTCCTCTTTCTTGAGTTCAGCATCTAGTTTTATTTTAGTGGCTACCCAGGCTGACCAGTTTCTATCTGCCCCTTGTTCTCTTAGTTTCTCTAGCTCTTTGGAAAGTTGCTCTCTTAGCTGTACACTGTCTGTTCTGAATTTTCTACTCCATTTAAGGAGTGCAAGTCTTGTTTGCTTTATTTTTTCTGAGATTTGGAACATAGGGGTTCCACTTTGGTTCTGCTCCCATGCTTTCTTGATAATATCTATCACACCTTCAGTCTTGGCCCATCTTTTGTCAAAGTAGAAACGCCTCTTCTTTGGTTTGTCTCTGGCCCCATCTGGTAGAAGAGTTAACAGATGATGATCTGAGGCACTCCGGAATTTGTTGAGTATAATGGCCTTTCCATGACTAGCATATCAGTCGTAAGAGCAGAAAATTCTATCGATTTTTTCTTCAATATGATTGTTATCAGACCTGCAATTCTCCCAAGTGTATTGGTAGCCTTCCATGTCTAATTCGATCATCCCCATGGTAGCTACAAAGGTCTGAAAGCCCCTAAGCTCTTGATCTGTTTTCATCCTTCCACCTTTCTTATCTGAATTGTGCAAGATGGTGTTCCAATCTCCTCCCAGCACCCAGTTACTACCCCATTTTCTCTTAGCTGACTCCAAAAAGCTCCATTGACTTTCTCTAGTATGTTTAGATGTGCTTGCATACACAAATATATACCAACAGGGTTCAGATTCCCCTGGACAGATTGCCTGCACTTCAAAGCAAAAGGAATGGGTAATTAGCTGTAAAATAGATACTTCCTTACCCCACAACAGGAGCAGTCCCCCACTCAAGCCCTGGGGTTCTACTGATGCCCATCTATTTTGAAAACCGATTTTTTTACAAACAGTTTTAATAAAGTCATTTTTCTTTTTAGTTTCTGCTAGGAAAACAAAATTTGGAGGGTGAAGCCTTGTGGACTCCTTGAGTTGGGCAACTGTAGAGGGTCCCCCCAAACCTCTACAGTTCCACAGGATTAGGCTCATTGATCCGGGTGGGCCCACTTAAGGCTGGGTACCTCCACATTTTCTGTAACATTTTTAAGTTTTTTCTGAGAATGGGTTTCTTGACTATTATCCTCCTGCAAATTAGGATTATAATGCTTATCTTTGCAGTTCTCTTCCAGGATTAGAGGTCTCTTCTTGCGGATATCAGTAGTTGCCTCCTTCTTTTGGTCGATGGCACTGTGAGATCTTTCTGGCTGCAATGATAATCTCTTCCAAGTTTTTTGTTTTTGCCTTTGATCCTGTCCTTGAGAGAAAGTTAAATTCGTTCCTGTTGGGAGCATAGCCAGGGGCTGGAATGATTTTCCATGTTGCTTCTTAGAGACTGTGAGGGTGCCTCCTCGGATTTGCAAGAACTAGTGGGCAGAATATTTGGATCAGAATTTGGTAGAGCGGCTGGAACGTCCTCTTGAATATTATTAGGTGCTGCTAAAGTGGCAGGTTCCATATTGCTATTCTCAGTATCTTCTTCTATCACCATTGGCTGGGAGTGGTTATTTTGAGGAGTAGTGCCTGGTGAGATCTGTGTGCTTCCCTTTGCAGAAGAATGACTATTAGGTTGGGGGGTTTGAGGGGGAGAGTCAGTAGCTTTCCTTTCCCGGCTGCTAGTAGTTTGGCTTCCTTGGTTTTGCCTATTTTCCACTGCCTTCATCCATTCACCAAAATTTCCTTCCTTCAATGTGCCTTTGTCAATATCTTGAATTCTGTGTGAACAATTTTTGTCCAGGTGCCCTAGTCTCCCACAGTAATAGCAGAGGCTGACAAGCTTTTCGTAGTGAAATGTAGCCATTATTTGTTGATTGTGGAGTTTCATATTGACACATCGAGGTAATGGTTCATTAACATCCACAGTAACCAGCAATCTCAGATAACTTCCTATCACACCTCCTGCTTTCACAATGGCTACATTCTTGGTTTTTTTGAAAATTTTACCCACTTTCATCCCAACCTCTGCACTGAGCCAATTGAGAGGTATATTCTTCACTTGCACCCAAATGTTTAGAGCGGAAAAAGCAGGACTTGAACTTGTTAAGCCTTCTTCCCATTCACATAGGATAAGGAATTGGTTGTCAAAAATCCAGTTAACCCCTCCTAGGACTTTTTCTTTATCCTCGCTATTTCCGAATAGAAATTGAAAGAGATTAGTACGAAGTTCTCGAACCTCGACGGGATATTGTATCTGCCAGATTGAGTTAACTGTTCTTCGTAATCCAACTAGGCTGGCTTTTCTTTCTCCTATTATTTTACCGAACAAACTTCTCGAACATTCTGCAGCACTCGCTTTTATGTCATCATCCCCCAATTCTATGATGTTGCTCTCCGATGATGATAGGCCGATTCTCCTGAGTTTATCTTCCAGATCCTCTGTACATCGTAGAGAGTTTGGGGCTTCTTTGTTAGGATGGGCCATCGATCAGACAAAGTCCAAACCACAAGCCCTAATATTGAATGATGCTAGATTTGCTATAAAGATTTGGATGATTCTAGAAGTGGGGAGATGCAGGAACAGAAATAATCAATGAAGGAGAGAATATAGAATAACAATTTAGATGGAGGATGGAAAAAAGAAGTACGTTGGGGAATGGTAAGTCTCTATCGAGGAGAAATGGAACTCTCAATCGAGAGAAGGAAACCCTCAGAAAAGGGAATCTAAGCACGGTGGTTACTTGTAGAAAAGGTTTGTGGCCTCTCTCAACTTTGAAGAGTGAATTCGGCTTAGTTGAATGGTTGTTACCATTATCATTTTGTTGTCTTTTAATCGTTATTTTTTTCATTCTTATCCTAAATTCTTTTTTGTTCCATATTGTGAATGTGAATATTTCACGAAATGATGTTTTATTTTTTGTCCTGTAGAAGGTAAAACATTATGATTTATTTTGTGTAGAATAATATTAATGATAAGATATTAGTTTAAATAGACAAATTATACATAATATAATTGTTTGTATTTCAATTTCCTTGTATGATGATGAGATGAATTTAACCTTATTTGCTGCAAAAATGCATTTCTACATGTGTATCAATCTAGTGAATTTTATTAGTAAAATTTGAAAGCTACATATGGTAAATATATCATTAGCAATTACTGCAAATTTGTAAATGGGATTTACAAAATCATAATATAATTTACTAACATAATCATTGTATATTACATAAGTATTATCAATTCATGAATAAATAAAAATTAAGATAATATAAAGAAGGAATTAAATAATAACTATAGAATTTTCTATTTTTGTATCATCGGTATTTTTGCAAAAAATTCAACTTGTGATTTTTATTAAATATGCTCAACGTTTTTAAATTAAAACTTCTCATCTTATTAAAAAAATAATTTATTTTATCTCCATATAATAAATTAATTATACAGTCTTTAAACATTATATTTTATAATAATTTAATGAAATCTAATTATTTTCGTACTTCTATGGAACATATATGCATGTATAGTAGGTCTTATCCATGTACAACACAATATAATTTTAACTTTTAAAATAAATTTACATTAGCTCAACAATTTTATAACCTAATAACAAATCTCTTTGAAATCGAGAGTTCAAATAATTATTATGAATTGACACTAAATAATTAGAAATATTATCAATGCTAAACTTTCCTTTGCTTAAAGATATGTATTAAATCAGTAGAGATATTATAAATCTGTATATGCTAGACTCGGATCTGCTCCCTTACCCACGGTGGGCAGAGAATTAATATGCCCATCGCGTATGTGGCATGTACACATTAGGCATATTAATTCTCTCTCATTGCTTATGTTCAATGTGTACATGCCACATAAGTAATGAACATTTTAATTCCCTGCCCACCGTGGGTAGGGGAGCAAATTCCATGCTAGACTTGTCTTTAAATTTAGAATCTTATCATAATTATCGGTAATGGAGAAAACGTGAGTTTTCCTAGAAGATAATGAAATTTGTGTTAGGGATGTAATTATATAAATCTTAAGTTAAAAATAGAATATATGTAAAAAAATATTCATGTGATTTTTTCCTTTAAATGTTTTAATATAATTGTTTCCAAAAATTTTTAAAATACATTTAGGCGGAATATTAAAAAAAATTTTAAATAATTTACTTATTTTAGTAATTCTGAAATTTTAGGCGGGATTTTAGATTCTATTTCAGGTAAATACCAAAATTTTTTATATTTATATAGATTATGTACTAAAATATGTATTTAGTTCCTAATTTAGTGGATTTTGTTTTCCTGATATATGTCATGTGCTTGTTTGTTTTATAAGTTTATATTGTTTTTGAGAAATTTATTGCCTAGAAATCCAATTTGTGAATAATATCTTCTTGATGATTTGTATCGAAGAAGCTCTTATAAAATAGGATATTGATTTTCTTCTCATTTTTTTTTCACTTTTACCTATTTTGTCATAAAAAAATAATAATTTAACTTGACTGAAATAATATATTTTTTTTTTAAATTCGACAAATAAATTCGATCGATAAACTAAAAAGTAGTTATATATTTTCTTGAAATAAACATAGATAGACTAAATAAATATATAAATCTCTAACTTTAAAAAACTAATAAAAATGTATATGTTTAACCCAATATTTTTAAAGTATTAAGGCTTTTTTTTCCAAACGACAGAATAAATACTCATAAACCAAACAACGTTCAATACAACAAAGCCGAAGCTGGGAGCATCACACAAAGTGAGCTAGAACACACACAACAAATACAAACATATGAAACCAAAGCAGTTACCCTCAACTGATCCTTTGATCCCACCAAGCAAAAAACACTACCAAAAACTAACCCCACCTAAAACAAACTGAATAACAAAGACAGCAACCCCAACGGAAAAAAGAAAACAGACCAACTAAGGACCTAACACCGGTTACCCTGCTCAAAAGCATCCCAATCCCTCATGGCAGCTTTGATAACCATAGGTGCAGGTCTTCTAACATGCTCAAACACCCATAAATTGCGAGATTTCCACAGCCACCATAATATATAAGTAGATAACTGTATCCGGGCTTCAGAAACCTCACAAGTATCCAACTGACATATCCTCCACCACCATGATTTGAAAGAGTCATTGCCTTGTGGTCCCTCCCATCTAACAGGTGCCATCTTCCATACCTCAACAGCATACCTGCACTGAAAGAATATATGAACAATCGACTCAGCTGTCTCTCCATACATCCTGCAAATAGGATCCACTTCTACTCCTTTTTCCCTCAGCTGCAAGTTAACTGGCAAAGTATTATTACAACATTTCCAGATAAAATGTTTCAGTTTCCCCATGACCTGCATAGTCCAAGTTCTATTCCTGACTTTGGAGTCTGTAACAAGATCTCTACTGCTCTGTGCATTAAGCTGCTTAATAAACTTGTCTGTAATCAACCTTGCATAAGTGGATTGGACAGAGAATATGCCTTTACTATGCAGGGACCAAATCCACCTATCTTCCCTATTAGGTGCATTAGATTTAATGCTCAGAACTTCATTACAAAAAACAGGAGTAAATGTGGATCTGACCTTATGCTCATCCCAGCCTCTCCCATCTTCAGTCATCAAATCCTTCACCCATTCCAGCCCTCTCTCAATGCCAGGTAACAATTCAACATCTTTACCAATAAAATCTGGAACCCAGTGCTTATCCCATATTCTTGTGCTCCTCCCATCTCTGACTTCCACCCTCATCCAATTCCCACATACCTGCAGCACTGATAACCAACTGCTCCAAAGCCATGATGCACTTTGCTTCCTCTCAGCCTCAAATAAGGTAGAATTAGGAAAGTATTTTGATTTGAGAACCCGACTCACTAACCTTTCTGGCTCTGCCACTAGCTTCCACAACTGCTTAGCAATCATGGCAGTATTAAAGAACTTGATATCTTGAAAACCCAGGCCTCCATGCTTCTTCCTCAGAGTCAATTTGTTCCAATCTACCCAATGCAGCCCTTTATGCATATCAGCACCTTTACTCCACCAGAATTGGCCACACACTGTTGAAATCTCTTTACACAACCCTGTTGGTAACACAAAGCAAGACATTGCAAAGATGGGAAGGGCATTGAGCACTGCTTTAATCAGGATCTCCTTCCCAGCAGCTGAAAGCCATTTATTTTTCCAGCTATAATTCTATTTTTAACCACATTCAGCACATAATCAAATGAATCTTTTATGGACCTCCCAATCCCTAGAGGTAACCCTAAGTATCTGGTAGATGAATGAATTTGAATCCCAGCCAACACAGTACAGACACCTTGCTTTGTCTCCTCAGAGGTGTTCTTACTGAAAAACACAGTAGACTTGTCCATACTAACCTGTTGCCCAGTGAATTCCTGAAATTGTTTCAGCATAAGCAATAGCCTCCTAGCCTGCCTCTCATCAGCCTTGCAGAAGACCAAAGTGTCATCTGCAAACATTAAATGAGTTAACAGAGGACCCTCTCTGGACAGTCTCAAACCTTTGAAGCTCCCTTTCTCAGCATCCATTATTATCCTGGCAGAAAGCACCTCAGAGATAATAAGAAAAAGATAGGGAGACAACGGGTCTCCTTGTTTAATTCCCCTGGATGCTGTAATATAACCACAAGTCTTGCCATTAATATTAAAAGAAAATGTAGGCATTTGAATACAAGCCAATATCCACTTAACAAAACTGTCTATGAAAACCCATCTTCACCATCACCAGCTGCAGAGCTTTCGACTCAACACAATCATATGCTTTATGAATATCTAACTTTAAAGCCATGAAGCAATTCTTGCCACTTCTGTGTCTGTTCAAGAAATGAAATACCTCATGCCCTATGATCACATTATCTATCAATTGTCTGCCTGGCAGAAAGGCATTTTGATTTGCAGATATACATTCATGCAGACACTGTCTCAATCTCAAAGCTAATATTTTGGAGATAACCTTATAAAACACTGCACACAGACTGATAGGTCTGAATTGAGATACAGATACAGGATTTTGGCACTTCGGAATGAAAGTAATAAGAGCATGTTTCCAGTACCTGAGCATCTTCCCTGAGTCGAAAAAGCTCTTCACTGCTGTACAAATATCAGGGCCTATTATGGGCCAAAAGTGTTGATAAAATAGCCATGTCATGCCGTCTTCTCCTGGAGACTTATCAGGATGAATGCTAAAGATGGCTTTCTTAATGGTATCATCTTCAACTGGAGCAATAAGCATTTCATTCAACTCACTAGTAATGGAAGGCTGAATACCAGGCAACAGTTCCTGCCCATTCTTACACCCCTTAGAAGAAAACAATTGCTCATAAAATTCAATAATTGTCTTCTCAATGTGTGCAGGGTTCTGAGTGAGGCTTCCATCCCCTATGAGCAATCTGTCTATGCTATTCATTTTCCTCCTCTGGGCTACATAAGCATGAAAGAACTTTGAGTTCCTGTCCCCCTCTTTCAACCACAAAGCCCTTGCCTTTTGCCTCCAAAAGGCCTCCTCTGTACAATTAGCTGCATCTAGTTCCCTCTGCAATCTATCCCACACCTCCCATTTCCTCTCCCCACCCTCTCTCCTCATCTCCTCCAGCCTTATAGTAAGCTGCTGAATAGTTTGAGCATTCTCTGATCTGAAATATCTGCTCCAATTCAATAAAGCAGCCCTAGCCTTTTTAATTTTTTCCTTAACAGAAAACATAGGAGTGCCCTGACCCTGACCTTCCCAAGCTTGTCTGACCACCTGTTGCACCCCTTCTTTCTGGATCCACCTGCCATCAAAGATAAATCTCCTTTTATGCTTCACCTCCTCCCCCCATGAATTTATCAGCAACATGTGATGGTCAGAAGCACTCCTGAACCAGTTATGAACTCTAGTATCAGGAAATTCTTCCAACCATTCCAGAGAGACAAACACCCTATCCAATAATTCCTCCACAAAGCCTTCACCCTCCCTATTATTAGCCCAAGTAAATTGAGCCCCATTCATTGATAACTCATACACTCCCATCCCCTCCAGAAACTCATTGAACTCCCAGCACTCCTCAAGGATCTAGTTAACCCCCCTTTCTTGTCCTCTGGCTTACAGATATCATTCCAATCCCCAGCAAGGAGAAACAGCCTTCCCCACTTGGGTTTCTCCTGTAAAAGCACACTCCACTGCATTCTCCTTTCCACCCTGTTGGTACTCAGGTATACAAACACCCCCCACCTCCAAGTATCAAGCCTTTTATCTCTGAACTTCACTGCAATAAAAAAACTATCCCCATACACCTGGTCTACCTCAATCTCAGCATCCCACCCCAACACCAGACCACCTTTACCTCCCCTGGCCTCCACCACAAACAGGTTATCATAAAACCCCAGTTTATTACAAACTTGTAACACATATTTTTTGGTTTTTTTAACTTCAGATAAAAAAAGAAAGTTTGGGTGGTGGAGCCTCAAGGCCTCCTTAATCTGGGGAACTGTAGAGGGCCCACCCAGACCTCTACAGTTCCACACCTGAGCCATCATTGACACCCTGAGGGCCCATTATGGCTGGCCCTCTCCACCTTAGATACAGTCATCTTGAGTTTCTTCTCCCCATTACAACCAAGGCTTTCTTCATTTCTGCTAGTATTGCCCTGCTCAATCTCCCTCTGCCTCTTATTGACAACCCCAGGAGGTTCTGCTTCTGTACTGTCACCGCTCCTAAGCAGCCTACCTTCCTTCTGCATATTCCTCTTTCATTTCTTCTGAACAGTGGAAAGTCCAACATCAGCCCTCTCCTGCCCTGGATCTCTAGGAATGCTAATAACTGACTCTTGCTCAATCTGGTCAAGAGCCATTGCATCCCACACAGATTTATCTTCCCTCCCTGTACTGCACTTCTCCAATTGCCCCGGTGATTCAAAAACTACTAACTCCTTGCTGGTGTCTTTATGCAAGTCTCCTTCATCCCTCCTGGCTGAGTTACTATCCCCCTTCATCCCGCTGACTCCAGTTGGAACTGAACTAGCTTCCACCCCAGGGGAGAAAGTTTCCCCTCCCACCATTTCCCCTTCCTGATTTGGTTGAACTACTGGAGAAGAATCAGGAGCTCTTGTATAATCTGAAGAAGAGTCACTATTTCTCCATCCCTGCCCTTGAAGCCCATCAGTAGCTCTCATCCACTCTCCAAATTGACCCTCCTTCAACACACGCCCTTCTACATCATCCATCCTCTTTTGACAACCTTTCTCAAAATGCCCCACTTTGCCGCAATAAAAACACAAGTTCACTAATCTTTCATACTTGAATGTGACTGTGACCACTTCATCTCCCAGCCGGATCGAAGCACAACGAGGAAGTGCTTCAGTGAGGTCCACTGTCACCAGAAGTTTGATCAATCGCCCTCCATGAGTACCCAGATTGCAAACCAAGACATTAGAGACATTCTTGAACACTTGTCCGATCTTTAGTCCCACATCAGATGTAAACCAGTCCAAAGGCACATGATGAATTTGCACCCAACACTTCAGCTTATTGAAACAATCATCGCTACTGCGAAGTCCCCTTCTCCACCCTTTGAGTATTAAATACTGGTTATCAAAGATCTAGTTGATTCCTCCTGCAACCCTTTTCATGTCCTCCACATCTTCAAATATGAATTGGAAGAAATTCCTGTCCAACTCTCTAACCTCCATAGATGCCTTTGGTTTCCAGATCATTGTCGTAGCCCTCTTCACCCCCACCAGATGCACCTTCTTATCCCCAAAAACTTTCCCGAATAGACTTTTATGGCATTCCTCGATGCTCGCCTTAACATCCTGCGAAGCTATATCAATAATTTCGTCCTCCACCTTCGATAATGAAAAAGCCCTAAGACGTTTCTCCATATCCTCCGCCGGATGACACGATTGCCCTTCCTCCATGAGCCCTAATTGCTAGCAGACGATAACCCCTCTATCCGTCAACTCCCGATTCCCAGATACCTCCACCCGCTCGACCCACACTCGTAATGAACAAACTCTCCAATGAGAGAAGGAACTCTCCGTTGAGAGAAAATCGATTTTCCTACAACGTGCTAATTAAAAAGTATTAAGGCTGAAAAAGGAATATAGGTATGCAACTGCTTCTGTTTTGTTCGAAATTCAATGAAATAGAAAGCCCAAGGACAACTTTTTCTTTTTCCTTTTTTATTAGTCCGTAATTTTGATGATGGGGATAAATGATTCCTATGGATATGTACAAAAAAATATGTAAATATGTATAATATAGAGAATTATTTTATGCATAACTAGTATGTAACCCGTGCGATGCACGGACTGTATTTATTTTGGAGAATATTAAAAATTAAAATGTATTAATAAATAAAAGAGTGATAATTTGTAGAAAAATTATCAAACCATAAACTGTTCCTCATGCAAAAATATATGTTATTTAAACTTTCTTGTACACAACATTATTTGAGCAACTCGTCGTCCTCACAAACTAATATTTTCAACACTTTTCTATTACTTACACACGAAACAAACAACATAATTGTACGTGACTAAAAATCGATTTCTTTAAGAACATGCCAACGTACAATAAATGTTGACCTTGACTCTTCTTGATCTATTACTTAACATGCCAACGTACAATAAATGTTGACCTTGGTTCTTCTTGACCTATTACTTACACGCGTAACAACATACAATTGGTCGTAATCAAAAAAAGATTTTTTTTAAGAACATGTCAATGCACATCTCTTATCTATTACTTACACGT